CAAATGAAATACTCGATTCCTCTAAATGACATAATCCGAAGAGATTTTACACAAATTACTAATCATACTAAACCATCAACTCAATGATGATTGTAACAACGTCATCAACACAACAACATATTCAGTATAATCCCACAAGTGGAGTTTGGGAGGCACTACCTCATAAACATAGAGAGTGATTGTTTCCGATAGACACTCGCTTAAATAAAGCATTTCCAAACAGTTTGAATAATGATTATGACAGTGATGATGAAATAAAAAATGAAAAAGGATTAAACACCAGAATTTTTTTGTCCTGTCATACAAACAAGGCTTGTTTCTCCTAAAAACTAAACCCCAGAAAACACCACCATTGTTAGATCCAAACCAAAACTTACCAAAAAAAACACACACATCACAAACTAGCAGATATCAGAGCAACAAAAGAACACAAAATCAACTGTTGACCATTTAACAAAAACAGATCATGGTTTTCCCAAAAGAACAAAGTCAACATTCTGAATCAATCAACTGAAAACTTTAATGCCAAAATGAAGATCTAGTCATTCCAAAATCCACAAAAAAAATCAGATCAAAGAAAAAAAGGGTAACTTAGATTTGAGAAAATTAGAACCTGGGAAGTAAAGGGTTTTGGCGTTCAGATGAATAAGCCAAGAATCCAGAAGAACCAAGGTTGATGGTAACTGAACCAGAATGGGCAGATGAGAAATGCTGTGCCAAAAAACCATCTTTGAGTGCTGAAACTGCACCATCATTGTTAGGACTTTGAAGGGCTTCTGGGCTTTTAGCCACAGATTTGTCAAATACTGCAAGCATTTTTGGATGATGGAAAAGTTACAGAGATTTTATGGTATGTCAGAAATGAGAAAAATGGTGATCAAAATGGGGTTGAAATAGTTTGCAGGGGAGATGGTTTTTTCTTCTTTGCTTTTCAAAATGACATAAATGCCCTTTCTTCATAAAATGACAAAAGAAATAATATAGATATTTGTAAATTTGAAGGAGAATCCTCTTTTTCTTTTTAAAATTTGACAAGAAAAAAAAGGGAAATTATATGGTCAACTTTTTTTTTTGGTTTTCTATCTACGTCTGCATTTAAGCTCGATTAATTTGATAAAAAAATTACATATTCATTCAAGAATAACTCAAACTTGAGACTTTGGTAAGGGAGGAGTTATATTGTCTGTTGCATTATATTTTCTAGTAATTTATAAAGATGGGAGCCAGGTAAGATCGAGTACACAATTTATACAATAACATACAATGACACTAAGTGAAACGTCTGTAAAGGATAAAATATACTATTTATACAAACCTTATCACACTATTTTATAAAGATGAGACCTGTTTCTAAAAGACTCTCGATTCAATACACCAACCCAAATAAAAAAAAAGAATACAATAAGAAAAAAACAAACACAACAAATTTATATATGATTAAAATTATTTTTTATTATATAATAGATGTTATATCCTTTTTTTATACCCTTTCATATTTTGAACCACTATAGTAAATGTTTTTGCTTCAATGTCACTAGTATTTAGATATGTTCAACTTAATTAACAGTTATCCTTTTTGTTTTTTAAGATATAAAATTATATAATAAATTAAAATTTACTATGAAATCGAGTTTAATTTGAATTGGTTCTAAGATAATACAAATCTAATTCAATTAAATAAATTTAGTTCACTTAATTTTTGAATAATTAGATATTTATTAATGTACCAAAATACAATAATTATTATGTTTTTTTATAAAATGTCTCGAAAGGGATCAATAATTATAATTATTGATGACTATGAATGCTATGAGTATTTTTCTTTTAAATTTTTTTTTGGAATATTATTATTATTTTGAGCATGTTGAAGATCCAGCAAAGTTAGTGTCGGTGATAATTTATTTTTACTTAGTGGAGATCCTTAAAACATTATAATAATAATAGTTAATCCCCAAAGTTGGAATAATTTTTTTTTTTTAAAAAAAAATGTCCTACTCAGGAGCACGTAAGAAGTTGAAAATATGACTATGACTAGTAAACATTAAATATCCAAAAAAAAAATATTATAGGGGTATATTCGTAACTTAATGTTTATAATGATGGAGGAGCTTATCCAAATATTACGTGGACATGAGACAATTACTGACAAAATATTAATATCTTATTACTACTATACTATTTATGTTAATTTTGGATTATAGTAATTATTCTTTTTTAAAGGATAATTTCCAGTAATCAATGTACGTGTAACGTGGCAACTAATATGTGGAGCCATTTTTTCTTGAGAGGTGTGGAAAATTTTATATTTTATTTAAAAAAGTTTTATTTTTTAATGTTTATTTGATTAAAAGTTTTGATTCTTTTTAATAAATGAAATGACCATTTTAGTTGAAGTAGAGAAAACAAGATCTATAGCTATCATTCAGCTTGATTATGTACTCTTTCATCTTTATTTTTTGTTTCTATAGTCTCGATCCTCACTGTATTCACACTTCGTCTTACATAATATTATCTTGATCTAAATTATATATAGAGTAATTTTTAAGACTAATAATTATTTATGACATGTAAAGAAAATAAATTATTTGGTGATTAGTTAAAATTATTACGGATATTTCGTGTATTACACATGATATTTTTCAATTTTGCGTTTAAATAGTTTATCTCTTAACAAATCATGAAATGTAATATGATTTATACAAAAAGGTAATTCATATATAATCCATCTCCAAACCAACTCATACACAACTTCTTATTAAGAAGTTTATATTTTCTTTTTAGAACATTTTCATTACTATCGACCACGTGACCGAACTGCCAGACGCTTATTCTCGAGAAAAAAAAAGAGGAAAAAAAACAGAAAAAAAGGTAGGGAATGCCTTTACCTAAGTGGAGGTCCAAATTATTGAAAAAGAGCTACAAATTAGTGGGTGACCCCACTTATCTAATCCAAAAGGTAGAAGTGGACCATTCTAAAAAGGGGTGTTGGGTTGTTAGAGGGTGTCAAATATTTATACAAACATGATAATGTTAATTAAAATTATGATATAACTTGTGAAATTTATGATATAATAATACTACTATATATACTAAGAATATAAAATAACAATGGGAAGGTAAATTGGGTTGAATGTGATTTCACTATTTTTTATTTTCTACTATATTAAATGAAAGTCAAAGTAATCCTCAAAAGAGTTGTAACATGCACGAAAAATCAAGCATAACGTGTATTAAAAACTTTTTGACTTTTCATGTACACAAACTAGCAAAATAGGAAAAAACAAATGAGATAATGGTATAGAATGACAAATTAATAATATAAAATAAATATAATAGCTATTGTTTGATTTATTTTTGTGTTTTATAGCAAACTGTTTGTCAGTTCCTCTCTCCCTCATATTCTCGCTCGTCACTTTCCCTCTCTCGCCTGCTTCCGTTGCTCGCCTCTCTCGCTTTATACAATAGAATTTTTATTCCCCTCTCTCTCCTCTCCCAAATCTCGCTCGCCGCTCTCTCTAATCTCGCTCGCCACCCTCGCCTCTTTCGTTTATACAGACAGAAACGATATGTATAAATTGTGTTTTTAATTCTATAAAGCGAGAGAAAATTATATATACACATGCAAATACATGTATCTTTGTCCTATATACTTATAATTATACAATAAAAGTATTTTTCGGCCCAAGTCTCTTTTGTCTCTATCTCTTCCTCATTTTATACAAATTCAAATTGTATATAATTTCTCTCTTTCTCGTTTTATACAATTCGATTTTATTGTATATTCCCTGCTCAAGTCTCTTTTGCTTTTCTCCCTTTCTCGTTTTATGCAAATTCAAATTGTATATAATCGTCCTATACACATATAATTATACAATTCGTTTTGTATACTTCATTTTATACAATTTTCTGTCCATGTCTCTTTTGCTTTTTCGTTTTATACACTTTGTTTTATACAATTCGCTTCAATTATATATATATATATATATATATATATATATATAT